CTTTGAATTATGGTGTTGGAGGAGAATACTAAAAGTGCCATGGGCTGCCAAAAGAACCAATAGATCTGTTTTGGAAGAAGTGCAGCCAGAGTGCTACTTAGAGGCCAAGAGGGCCAAACTTCGTCTCTCATACTTTGGACATATTGTCAGGAGGGAACAGTCACTGGTAAAGGATATCATGTTTGGTAAGATGGAGGTTCAGAGAAAAAGAGGAAGTCCCCTAACGAGATGGACTGGCTAGGTGGCAGCATTGATGGACTCAAGTGTGGCAACAGTAATGAGGTTGGCCCAAGATCAGACATTGTTTTGTTCTGCTGTGCGTAGAGTTGCTATGAGTCGGTGCCGACTCGATGGTATCTAACAACAACAACAACAACAACAACAACAACAACAACAATTTTCTTAAGCTCTTTGATTTGAGATATTTATTTTCCATGTATTTATAAAACTCGGTGTGGCGCCGTAGGTTAATGTGCCAGACTGCAAAGCTGTTTGAACTGCAAGGTCTGCGGTTCAAGTTTACCAGCCACTCCTCGGAAACCCTGCACTGGCTCGCTATGGGGTGGGATCGACTCGAAGGTACTTAACAACAACAACGAGTTTAATGGTTCTATACAATAAGCACTGGGCTGTGAACCACAAGGTCCATGGATTGAACCTGCCAGATGCTCCAAAGTAGCAAGATGAAGCTTTCTGTTCCTGCAGATTTAAAGTCCCAGAAACCCTATACAGGTTTGCTATGAGTTGGAACTGATTCCATGGCACTGAACAGCAACAATCCTTTAAAATGATCTAAAGTACACTACAGACATATCACCATAAGCTGAAAAGAATAATTAAATTTAAACAATACTGAAGATGAAACATCAAATAAAAATTTTATTGTGATTTTGGTGTAAGTTTATACAGCAAGTTAGAATACCATATGCCAATTTCCACACAAATTGTCTCGTGGCATTAGTTATGTTTATCTAAATGTGTCAAAATTTTAAATTGTGCTCTTTATTCCCTTTCCAATATACTCCAGTTTCAGAGACCTCTTATCTTCTTATCACTGCTCTTAAGAAATTGTTGACCTTTTACCTCGCACTGACAGTTTTTAAGCAGGGCACCAATCTTATGGATGCTAGCCTTCATTTTGTGTGCCCTCTGCTAGTTTGCTAAAAGGTGATCTCTGGGGATATGTTTGGTTTTGGTTTAAAGACTAGGCAGTAATCTCAGTCAGTCCTCTGCTTTATACTACTCCAGTTTGACATTTTAAGAATTTGAATTCTAGTCTGTACTTTTTCTCACATTCTATCCAGAACCAACTATTGTGAGCCTAGTCAGAATGATCAGTAGTGGTAACCTGGCACCATCTAGTTCTGGTCTCAGGGTGAAGACCTATTCTCTTCATCAAATAAAGTTTACAGAACCTTCAGGGAACTACTGCCTGCCTATGTAAATTTAAGAGCTAAAATGAAAAATTTACCTTAAAAATTATGGGATAATTTATATAACATGAATAACGTACATTATAAAACTTTTCATTAAGAACACAGTTTCAAAAGCATAAGTTTCTTGTAAACATAATGAAAATTGTATGACCAATATTATCAAGATAAACCAGTGACATATTTGATGATTTTAATAATTTTTTAAAATGAACTTGTTAAAACTAAGTATTTTCAACTACATTATGAAGCCCATCTTTGATACTTTATACTAGAGTCCTGGTGTGGTTATCTATTTACTCAAAGTATCATAATTCCTCACCATTTCTTGTATCTATAATCTATACTGTTATGTATTAATTTCCTTTTTCTTTTTGTTAGTGAGTACTCATTTGAATCAGCAATATCTCACTTTTGGATTAAAACATATTTAGAAATATAACTGAGAATATATAACATAAACTTGTTCTACTACCAAGAAAGATCCTTATCAACTATAATAAGTGACCTCATGATTTTTTTCGCCCCTCTTTCTAGGGGATTGCTCATAAGTCTGTTGGTTACTGTGTGATGTTCACAGGTTACAGATTAGAAGGCACTTGCTGATTTTGGTTTCCTCAGGCTGATTATTTCAGGTCTCTGTGGTCATTAGGAATCTAGGGAATGAGGGTACGATCTCGTCTCCAGACCCAGTGCTCTGGATCATAAGCCTGAATCTGTAAAGAAAAAACATTCAATGACTAAGATGAAGACCCTCCAGACATATACAGTCTTCCCTCTATGTGTAGAGCATCTGTTAGTTTCCAATTCTAATATCCAAACTTCACTGTCCCTCTTTCTTGTCCAGTCCAACCATTCTTCAAATCCTCAAAGTCCTACCTCTTCACATTCCTCCTGAGAAACCCAAATCTTCCAATGCATAGAACGGATGAACTGAAATCTCAACTTGTGGAACATGGGGCGCTGGATGTGACTCTTCCCGTAGAGAAAGAAAAATATAGCTTGTTTAGAAGCCTGATTGTCTTCCTCCATATCACTGGCCAGGTAGCTGAGAAAAGAAATCAGATTTATTTTAATAAGCTAAAGTAGGACTCCACTTAAGATCATATTCCTAGAAAGGACTATAGGCTGACCATCTTACAGTTGTTGTTATGTGCCGTGGAGTCAGTTCTGACTCACAGCGACCCAGTACAGGGTTTCCAAGGCTGTAAACCTTAACGGGAGCAGAATGCCTCATCTTTCTCCTGCGGAACAGCTGGTAGTTTCGAACTGCTGACCTTTTGGTTCACAGTGCGATTCGTAACCACTACGCTACCAGAGCTCCTTAAATCAGCCCTATTCAACTGGAACAGCAGACACAGTTAATTGGAAAACTTACTTTGTAAAGGACTCTTTTAATACCTGACATAGTAAATACCATGCTGGGAACCTTGAGAACTTTTTTTTTGCCACCATTCAGCAGTGCAGTTTTCAGCACAATTTTTGATCACCAGCATTCCATCACATCATTCACTCTTACTTGTTATATGTGCAATTTAATGTCTCTCCACTGTAGTATTCTTACTATACCGTAAGAAAGTCAAGGAGAGGAACATACTCTACTTTATTTCTGTATCTTTTATTTCCTGCCCAAACCTAATATGGTATCTTGCTTATACACATTAATTCAACAGGCATTCCTTAATTCCATCCTTTTTGTGTTTTCCTACTCCCTCATACCACTACTTGTCTACCAGTTTGTTGTACTGTGGTGGCTTGTATGCTGCTATAATGCTGGAAGCTATGCCAAGGATAACAGCAAAGGTACCCATCGTAGACAGACTTCAGTGGAGTTTCCAGACTAGAACAGACTAGGAAGAATAAGAGGCTTCTGAATGGTTAGCCACTGAAAAGCTTATGAATGGAAGCAGAACACTGTCAGATATAGTTTTGGAAGATGAGCCCCGCAGGTTAGAAAACACTGAAAATATGACTGGAGAAGAGCTGTCTCCTCAAAGCAGGAATGACTTGGATGAAGCTACTTGGCTTTTGGGACCTTCATTAGTAGATGGGTAAAATTCAAATTAAGAAACAGCTACAAAGAGCCATTAATAATCGGAACATGAAATGTATGAAGTATGAATCTAGGAAAATTGTAAGTCTCCAAAAGTGAAATGGAAGATGAAGATCTACATTCTAGGTATTAGTAAGCTGAAATGGACTGATATTGGCCATTCTGAATCAGACAGTCATATGGTTTACAATCATGTGAACAACAAATTGAAGTGGAATAACATCACATTCATTGTCAAAACAAACATTTCAAGACTGATCTTGAAGAACAAAGATATCGGGAACAAGATAATATCCATATGCCTACAAGCAAACCAAAGCCTTGGTGTGGTGCTGTATGATAAGCACTGGACTACAAGGTTGGTTTGAACAGTGAGGTCAGTGGTTCAAATTCACTAACCGCTCCTTAGGAACCCTATACAAGATTGCTATGAGTTAGAACCCACTTAATGGCACTTAATAACAACAAGGAAACTAATGAATACTATTATTATTCAAATTTATACACCAACCACTAAAGCCAATGATGAAATTGAACAATTCTACCAACTTCTCCAGTCTGATATTAATTACTCATCAAATACACTGATAATTACTGGTGATTGCAAAAGTTGGAAGCAAAGACGAAGGATCAGTAGTTGGAAAATATGGCATTGGTGATAGAAACTATTCTGGAGATCACATAATAGAATTTTAAAAGACCAACCAATTAGCAATTATTCACTGTTAATACCTTCTTTCAATAATATATATGGCAACTATACAAGTAGCTCTCACCAGATGAAATACACAGGAATCAAATTAGCTATATCTGTCAGAAGAGATGATAAAGAAGCTCAATTTGTTGTTAACTGCTGTCGAGTCAATTCCGACTCATAGTGACCCTGTATAGGGTTTCCAAGGAGCATCTGGTGAGCTTGAACTGCTGACCTTACGGTTCAAACTGACAGCTAAAACAAGGCCAGGGGCCAACTATGGAATAGACCAGTCAACTGCTTATGCACAAGTCAAGCTGAAACTGTATGAAATTAAAACATGTCCACAAGAGGTAAAATATGACCTTAAGTATATTCCATCTGAATTTAGACACCATCTAAAGAAAAGATTTAATGCATTAGACACTAATGTATGGATGACATCAAATAACCATACATGAAGAAAGCAAAAGGTGATTAAACAGACAGGAAAAAAGTAAAAGACCAAAATAGTGTCAGAAGGGACTCTGAAACTTGATCTTGAACTTAGAGAAGCTAGAGGGAATGGAAAAAATGATAGAGCGAAACGGAGAATTTCAAAGATCATATTCCTAGAAAGGAATTCATCTTCAGTACATGTCCTTGTTGTTGTTGTTAGGTGCCATCGAGTCGGTACCAACCCATAGGGACCATATGCACAGCAGAACGAAACATTGCCCAATCCTAGGCCAACCTCACTACTGTTGCCACGCTTGAGTTCACCAATGCTGCCACTCGGCTAAAACATCTTGTTGGGAGTCTTCCTCTTTTTCTCTGACCCTCCACCTTACCAAACATGATATTCTTCTCCAGTGACTGGTCCCTCTTGATGATATGTTCGAAGTATGAGAGACAAAGTTTGGCCATGCTGGCCTCCAAGGAGCACTCTGGCTGTACTTCTTCCAAAACAGATCTATTGGTTCTTTTGGTAGCCCATGGCACTTTCAATATTCTCTTCCAACCTTACATTAGCCCTATTCAACTGGAACAGCAGACATAATTAATTGGAAAACTTACTTCTGTAAATGACTCTTTTAATACTTAAAATAGTAACTATCATGCTGGGAACCCTGAAGATGTATTTTGCCATCATTAAGCAATGCAGTTTATATTATACCTTTGTAGTTTACATTACAGCTTTACATTACAGCAATATAGTTCTGTGTGATCATTGCAGCTCGAGAGAACAAAGTATTATAATTAAATGTACAGAGACCTGGAGTTAGAAAACCAAAAGGGAAGAACACACTTTGCATTTCTCAAGTTGAAAGAACTAAAGCCAAAAATTAAAGCTTTGACCAACTATGCTGAAGGATTCTATGGGCAAAAGATTGAATTTCATGGAGCATCAAAAGAAGATGGAAGGAATAGAATACAGAGCCACAGTATCAAAAAATAATTGTTTGATGTTCAACCATTTCAAGTAGAAACATAAAATAAAAAAACAATGCGGTACTGAAAGATGATGATCAAGCAGCACTGAAGACATTGGTAAAAAACAAGGTTCCAAGAATTGACTGAATACAAACTGAAATATTTCAACAAACTGATGCAGCACTAGAGATGCTCACTCATGTATGACAAGAAATTCAGAAGACAGCAACCTAGTCAACCAATTAAAAGAAATCCATATATTTGTGCCCATTCCAAAGAAAGGTGACCCAACAGAATGTGGAACTCACCAAACAACATCATTAACATCACATGCAAATAAAATTTTTCTGAAAATAAAAAATGGTTGCAGCAGTACATTGGCAGGGAAAAAATACACAGCAGACTCAGAAGAAGACATGGAATGAAGGCTACCACTGCTGACATCATATGGATCTTGGCTGAAAGAAGAGAAAAACAGTAAGATGTTTACTTGTGTTTTATTGACTATGCAAAGTCATTCAACTCTGTGAACCATACCAAACTATGGATAACATTGAGAAGAATGGGAATTACAGAAAATTTAATTGTGCTTATAAAGAAGCTGTTTAGAAATGGCTGCAAGCATACATTGACAGAGAACTTCCAGAGATTCAAGCTGGATTCAGAAGAGGCCA